ATGTGGAGAAGAAAATTGATAAATACACAGGTCCTCAAGATGCGTGGACTCCTGGTCTGAGCCCAATAAAATTGTTTATTCCTCATGCTTGGCCTGGCCTGCCCTTCCTCCATCGCCTCCTGGGGCTTAGAATACTGGGAACACAGAAGGGGCTTTAGTCACTGCTGTTAATTAAGAAAGGCCTTCTTTAAAAGGTTAAAAAAAAACAACTCTAAGAGCTTTGAGGCATAATTGCCTGTGACCTACTCATTTCTGAGAGTTCTAAGAAATTGATAGTTGGAACAACTATTTCACTGTTGGCAAGAGATCTGGAAAATGATTGGAGGGGAGCCCTGTGTTGTGAATGGGGTGTGTTTAAACTTGCCTCAGGCTCGGGTGCTATACTCTGCAGATGTTAGGGTGTGAGGGTGCTGAGGGCCAAGCTTGGTGTTGTACAGAGGTTGTTCCCAGATGCATAGCCTGGGGAGTACAGCCAAGGGGTCACAGGCACTGCCCTTGTGCTTTCCCTGTATTTTGTGATCCAAAACTAATCAATTATTTTAAAGAAAAATAAAAAAGAAATGCTGTAGGTTGCTCCTGCTGCTGTGAATGTCCTAATGTGTCACAATTGCTCAAGGAAACTATTCAGATACTTAGCCTCAATAAGCACCAGTAAAGGGACGCCTGGGTGGCTCAGTTGTTGGGCGTCTGCCTTTGGCTCAGGTCAAAATCCCAGGGTCATGAGATCAAGCCTCACATCAGTCTTCATGCTCAGCAAGAGTCTGCTTGAAGATTCTCTCCCTCTACCCCTCCCCCCACTCACGCTGTCTCTCTCTCTCTCTCTAATATAATAAAATCTTTTTTAAAATACTAAGAGATTAGGGCGCTTGGGTGGCTCAGTTGGTTAAGCAACTGCCTTCGGCTCAGGTCATGATCCTGGAGTCCCGGGATCGAGTCCCACGTTGGGCTCCCTGCTCAGCGGGGAGTCTGCTTCTCCCTCTGACCCTCCCCCCGTCATGCGCTCTCTCTCTCTCTCTTTCTCATTCTCTCTCTCAAATAAATAAATAAAATCTTAAAAATAAATAAAATAAAATACTAAGAGATTAATATCCAAAGTACACGTTTCCCCCACTGTCTGAAAGTTTGCTTTACAACACTGCTTTTACAAAAGACCGACTTTAGTACCTGTTTTCACTAACTAAAAAAATCTGAAGAGCATTGTGCCTTTTACAAAATGGTAGTTGCTTCTTTGTTTTATGCCATTTCAGCTTACAAAAGGTTTCATAGGCATATTCTGCTTTTGGATAGCAGGGGAAACCTGTATATGGAGAACTCCTTAAAACTGAACAAGAAAGGGGTGCCTGGCTGGCTCAGTCAGTGGAGCATGCAACTCTTGGTCTCAGGATTATGAGTTCAAGCCCCATGTTGGGTGTAGAGGTCACTTAAAAAAAAACTTAAAAAGAAAGACTCAATAAGAAGGCAAACAACCTAATTCAAACATGCACAAAACACACTTGAATAGGCATTTCCCCACAGAAAGTATACAAATGGCCAGTAAGCACATGAAAAGATGCTCAAACTCACCTAGGGAAATACAAATGAAAACTACAGAGATACAATCTCTCACCCATTAGGATGGCTATTATACAAACAAATAAACAACAAAAACAATCAGAAAATAAGTGTTGGTGAGGATGTAGAGGAATTGGAACTCTTCTGCACTGTTGGTTGGAATGTAAAATGGTGTAGCCACTGTGAAAAACAGGATGGTGACTCTTAAAAACTTTTTGAAAATTACCATATAATCCATCAGTTCCATTTCTGGATATATACTCAAAATAATTGAAAGCAGGATCTTGAAGAGATATTTGTATACCCATGTTCATAGCAGCATTATTCTCAATAGCTAAAACATGGAAGCAACCCAAGTGTCTATTTATGGATGAATGGATAAACAACATGTGATCTGTTCATACAATGGGATGTTATTCAGCCTTAAAAATGAAGAGAATCCTGACACCTGCTACAATATGGATCAATCTTAAGGACATTAAGCCAGTCAGAAAAAGACAAGTACTGTATAATTCCACTTATATGAGGTACCTAGAATAGTCAAAATCATAGCAACAGAAAGCAGAATGGTGGTTTCAGGGGCTGAGGGGAGTTACTGTTTAATGGATATTGAGTTTCAGTTTTGCAAGATAAGAGTTATGGAGATAGATGCCACGTGGTGATGGTTGTACAACAATATTAATATACTTAGTACCACTGAATTATACACTTAAACATGTTTAAGAGTAAATTTGATGTTTTATATGTTTTACCACAATTTTAAAAATGAGAAAAAATTGAAGCTGAGAAAGTTCTCTGTTGAGGGTCCTTGGTGTCCACCACATAAACCTTCTTCTGTTCATCCTTAAATGCTTACACCAAAAGCTACTTCTGAGTATCTATTAATGCTAGATTCCTCTGTGTAATACAGAAAAAAATCCTTTCAGATTGGGATGTTAGAACTGCACCATTTCTCCCTGGCCTTATTACTGTCTTCAGTTTTATCTTGTAAAAATAAATCAAGAATCATTGACCTAATTATTAAATTTGAAAACAGGCTGTTATGTAAGCTATAGATGAAGAGAGAAACAGCATGAAAAGAGCTCTACTGACACTGAAGCCTAGTGCACTCACTTGGAGTGACAGATGAAAACTGCCCTCATCAGAATAACAACCAAGACTACAAATGTTGTGCAGAGGAAACTTACACATGAAAACTGAATTGTTTCTGACATTAGTCAGACTGAAAAAGCATCAGTTCACAGACCCCAAGTTTATGCAGAGGACCAGGAAATGAGTTTGACACCGAGTACTAAGGATCTGGGTCTGAGAGCCTGAGTTCCTGCCCCTGTCCAGCCATTCACCCAAGTTCCCTGAACCTTGTCATTAGCCAGAAACTAGAGGGGGCTGGCTGCGTGGTGCCTGAGCTTCCTTTCCACCCTCAGATTCTAGACCCTGACACCTGTCAGTAACCAGGCAGAGAACGCACTGGGTTACTGGCTCAGCAGTTCAAACCACCTGAGGCACTGAAATGGATTTGTGTTTCTTTTATAATGAGGCCCTCTTTTCTGTTCTTACCCTTTTCTACCCTATTTACCAAAACAAACATTGCCATACAAACCATGATGTAAGGAGAACCCACCCACTAGGTTTTATGTACACGCATCCCCATTTTGCTCTCAAGGGGCGCCTGGGTGGCTCAGTGGTTAAGCGTCTGCCTTCGGCTCCGGTCATGATCCCAGGGTCCTGGGATTGGGCCCCACATCGGGCTCCCTGCTCTGCGGGAAGCCTGCTTCTCCCTCTCCCACTCCCCCTGCTTGTGTTCCCTCTCTCACTGCTCTCTCTCTGTCAAATAAATAAATAAAATCTTTAAAAAAAAAGAGTTGGATTTTAAGTGGAGAATGAAAGGGGGATCAGTTGTGAAAAGTTCACCATGGGGCGTCATTTTTAATTATTACACAAATATATGAGATTGAAATGTGATGTCAAATAAAAATATTTAGTTACCAAAACAAAAGAAACAACATCTGCTCTATAATTATATATCCTTAACAATCTCTCCTTTTCCATATTCATTTCTAATATGTATTTTGTGACAGCACAGTGGCATGTAGTATATGGTTTATACATCTGTGATGTATATACATCTGTGGGGAGTGAGTGCTCAATTTTTTTTTTGACTGATTGGGGTTTGGAGACCAGGATCTACACATGAAAGTTTCCTTCCAGGGCAGCAGAATTCATTCTCCAAATGTCCATGCCTTGTGCCTATGTACTTCTTTGGGTTGCTGAAACAATGCCAACTGGTAAAATCTGGGAAGTGGTAAGAGTTAGATATCCAGAAGTATGAGTCAGGAAGAGAGGCTCTCTGTGGCATATAGAAAACTGCAGAACTACTCTATGCATGCAAAAATGAATGGCAATAGCCACCTTCAAGCACTTTGTATTTTCTACCAATTCACCTGCGGCCTCTTCACATTGATCCTTTTGATTATTCAACCTAGACTGAGCCCCAGAACATGACAACCTAACTTGTCAGGTAGAGAGAGAGGAAAAGGTTGGGAACCAATCTTTACCTAAAAGAGTTTTAATAACTGAGGCAAAGAAAAACATTTTGGAAACATTTATATAATCAACTGTAAAATTTCTGATTCAGTAGCTAATCTATGAATAAATGGATAATTGGGAGTATCTGACTAGAGACAAAAATGAGCATTAATGAAGAATTGACTCTAAATTACAGTTTCTGGCACCAGTAGATCAATGTACATAGTGTTTATTGGAAGGTAATTTTCTCTGTGATTTTCCTGGTATCCCTGAGAGGGGAAGTATAATTTTAGGTACATACTGACAAAATTTGAATACAAGTTAATTAGATTAAAGTTACAGTGTCTTTTAGAGATAAAATTGAAGGACCCTGTAGTTATTGTTTTGGCAAAGGATGCAGTGTATGGGTACTCAAACTTTATTGAAACAGAAACAAACCATGATTTATTTTATCATGTGGCACCTAATGTATCAGATGACTTATGAAAACAGTGTTTTGGTTTGATAGATGTTAGGAATTGTCTTAGTCTGTTCAGGAAGCTATAACAAAATAGCACAGACTGGGTGGCTTGTACACAGCAGACACGGATTTCTGACATTTCTGGAGCCTGGAAGTCCAAGGTCAAGTGCTAGCAGATTCCGTGTCTGGTTCACGGATGGCCATCTTCCCATTGTGCCACTGTAACATTGCATATGGTGGAAGAGGTGAGAGATCTCTCTGGGGTCTTGGGTCTCTTTTATAAGGTCACTAATCCCATTGTCTGCACACATAAACATTCAGTCTATAGCAGCGTTATATATAATTTCCAGTTTGCCTTGTTAACAGTAGAAGAGAGTGGGATGGAAGCTTTACTTCCAGCTTCCGAAAAGTGGGTTCAAAGAAGGCCCACCAAAATGAATGACGTTTTCCTTTCTTCACACAGGTTTTCTCCTACGGTGCCAAGATCTTTGCCATTCAACACATCAGTCATGTACAAAAAGACTGTGTTTGTAGAGTTTACAGATGACCTTTTCAACATTGCCAAGCCCAGGCCACCATGGATGGGTAATATAAACAATATTGACTGTTTATTATGAAACTGAGTATCTGATGTCCTAGCAAGGCTCCCCCAGTCTTGGAGCTGCAGTTGTAGAAGGCCAGGTTTCCCTTACTACCGCCTGTTGGGGAAATACACTGACACAGAATATTCTGTCTGTTTGCTGGACTCTCCTCCTCTGCTTGTTCTCTAGATGTTAGAGTGCTCTGGGTCTTGGACCTGGGTTTGTTTTATCTTCTCTTTACCTTCGATCACTAGCTGATCTTATCCAGTCCCACAATTTTAAGATATCCCTATGCCAATAACTCCCAGGTTTATATCTTCAGTTCAGGCTGCTTGCTTGATACATCCACTTAGATGTCAAATAAGCATGTAACAGGATATCAAAATGAGACATCTCCTACCTTAGAATTATTGCTGAGAATTATAGATGACAAGTACTCCCAAATTCTTTTTTTTTAAAGATTTTATTTATTTATTTATTTGACAGAGAGACAGTGAGAGAGGGAACACAAGCAGGGGGAGTGGGAGAAGGAGAAGCAGGCTTCCCGCAGAGCAGGGAGCCCGATGCGGGGCTCGATCCCAGGACCCTGGGATCATGACCTGAGCTGAAGGCAGACACTTAACGACTGAGCCAGCCAGGCACCCCAGTACTCCCAAATTCTAAAGAGAGATGGGGAGCACCTGGCTGGCTCAGTCAGTAGAGCACATGGCTCTTGATATTGTGGTTGTGAGTTCAAACGCTATGTTAGGTATAGAGATTATTTTTTTTTAAATTATAAAAGGTCAGTTTTACCCAGTTTGAAATCTTGAACTAAGAGAAAAGAAATAAATTTTATTGAGACAGAAACAAACCATGGGAGACTCTTAACAATAGAGAACAAATAGAGGGTTGATAGAGGGAGGTGGGTGGGGATGGGCTGGATCAGTGATGGGTATGAAGAAGGACACATGTTATGATAAGCACTGGATATTGTATGTAAGTGATGAATCATTGAAAATTCTCCTGAAACCAGTATATGTATGTATGTATGTATGTGTATATATATTGAGAGAGAATGAGGAAGAGGAGCAGAGAGAGAGGGAGAGAAAGAATCCCAAGCAGGCTCCACACCCAACACAGAGCATGATGCAGGGCTTAATCTCAAGACCCTGAAATCATGACCTGAACCAAAATCAAGACTCAAACATTTAACCAACTGAGCCACCCAGGCGCCCCTACTCCTGAAACCAATATTGCACTGTATGTTAACTACCTAGAATTTAAGTTAAAATTTGATGAAAAAGAAAAAGAAATGTCAGCCCTCATATGTAGGACTTATTCAGGGACTTGTTCAGGTGGTGGCCCAAAATTGGTTCTGCAACCCTCAGCCCATCTTGCACCTCAAGCCCAAATAAAAGAAGGCTAGGAACTTATGAAATAATTTAGGTTTGAGGATTTCTTTGTAAATCATTTTTGGTGATTTGTATGTTCCCCACCCAATAGTGGGAGGAAGGTTTCACCCTCATGTCAAGCTGTAGTGAGGAAGGCTTTAGGAGAACCACTTAGAAGACTTGACATAAGACCTGTGGAACTCATAAGACTATGACTAGTTCCTGCTTTTTATCTGAAAAAACTTTCAAGGTCAGAGTCTTCAGGGAGCTTCCCTTGATGGCATAATAAAGAGAGTGGGTTATAGCTGAAACTAACCGCACTACCACTGTTAGGTGTGAGATGAGGAAGGTCATAGGACAAGATTAATCTCAAGAAGACCCTGCCTGAGAGGTCTTCCTGCCAGGGCTAGGTGACCCCAATAGGAAAAGTCTAATTGTATTGCCAGAAGCAGAAACTGAGAAGAGATATACAAGTGACAGCTGGAGAGGGCATGATTGGGAAGGAGAGAGTCTCCAAAGAACTCATGTAAGTTCCCTAGGAAAGAAAGAGACAGAATTTTGGCATGCCCCACAACCAGGGACTAGCAAAGCCACATTATCACTGTTCTTTCCAAGAAAGATCTTGTCATCATGCCTCTTTATCCACCCCTGTCCTTTTCTCACTAGCTCCAAGCTTAGAGGGTCAGGAGACAGTAAGGTGAGTGGGGGAGGCGGATTTGGAGAGGAAGATGAGAAAGCTGGAGAAGGGAGGGATCCTTAAATTGCAGGAGACATCAGATGTTTGATATTAAGCTAGACTAGTATCACTGGACTAATATGATACTGCTAGTATGTGATAGTTACTGGAAAACATTGGGGATTGTTCAAAGTGCAAGAGGGGAAACTCCACATAACACAGGTTTGGTTTTTTTTTTTAAGATTTTATTTGACACACAGAGAGAGAGCACAAGCAGGGAGAGCAGGAGAGGGAGAAGCAGCTCCCCGCAGAGCAGGGAGCCCTATGCGGGGCTCGGTCCCAGGAACCTGGCATCATGACCTGAGCCAAAGGCAGACACTTAACTGACTGAGCCACCCAGGTGTCCCTCCACATAGCACATTTAAAAACTATGAAAAATAAATCTCTTTGATGTTTTTGTCCCAGTGAATCCACTTCATTCAATAAATCGTTTGTAGGCATCTTATACTTAATATGTCTATAAGTCAGAAGTCTTGATTTTCCTCTTAATTTTCTGCATCTTGGCCTGCCTACCACCCAGTTGCACAAACCCAAACCACAGGAGTCATCCCTGGCTGCTCTTGTTTTTTTTTCCTATCTCTAACATCCAATCCATCAGCAAGTCTTGTTGACTATTCATCCAAAACAAGTCCTAAGTCTGCATACTTCTTGTAAATTCCAAATTTATCCAAACTCCTGTGGCCTACAAAGTCCTACATGTTATGTTCCCTGCCTGCCTTTATAACCTTATTTTCTCTTATTCCCCTGTTCATTCACGTGTTACTCAACTATGTCAAGATTATTCCTGTCTCAGGACTTTTCCATTTGTTTTATCTGCTTTCAATGTTATTCTACTAGATATTTGCAAATCTTGCTTCTTTTCAATTAGTTAGATCTCTGCTCAAATGCCACCTCTTCAAGGATGCCCTTCCTAACCACTATATTTAAAAGATTCTGTCTCTAGCTTCATTTTCTAGCACACCACCATCTTTTATAGCATTTACAACAATCAGAATATTTCTTGTGGGGGCACCTGGGCAGCTCAGTTGGTTAGGCGTCTGCCTTTGGCTCAGGTCATAATCCCAGATTCCCAGGATTGAGTCCCATGTCAGGCTCCCCACTCAGCGGGGAGTCTGCTTCTCCCTCTGACCCTCCCCCATCTTGTGCTTTCTCATTCTCTGTCTCAAATAAATAAAAATATTTTTTAAAAAAGAATATTTCTTTATGTGCTTAATTACATTCTCCAGAATGTAGTTTCCATGATCTGTCTTCTTCACTACTGCATCTCCAGTGCCTAGGGCAGTTCCTAGAATATAGTAGGAACTCAACTATTAGTTGAATGAATGAATACATTGAATAAATTGCCAGAAATCTATCCTCAGAACAACCATGACACTGAGCTGGTGATAGCAGTTTATGCATTTATTCAGTCAATTACTACTTTTTATTAATAATCACAGGGTCATGTCTTCCCACTGTGACTTTGGCCATCACTTTTGTAATATCAGGTTTCCTGGAGTACCACTCTCAAAGTGACCTTTGGGTGGCATCTCATTCTTGCAGGTCTGCTGGGTCCTACCATCCGTGCTGAAGTTTATGACACAGTGGTCATTATACTTAAGAACATGGCTTCTCATCCTGTCAGTCTTCATGCTGTTGGTGTATCCTATTGGAAAGCTTCTGAAGGTGAGTTAAGTGCCCTCTTATTCTCCTGTCATCTTAGGGATAAAGGAGTATCGAATACAAGGTCCTACAGCTAGTGAATGGTGTACTCAGGATTCAAACCTAGGCCAATTTCGTGAAGTCAGGAGTATTGTCATTTTCATCTAAGCCCTGAAGTTTATTTTTTTTAAGATTTTATTTATTTGAGAAAGAGAGAGAGAACACACGTGCACACATGCAGGGGGAGCAGCAGAGGGAGAGGGAGAAGCAGACTCCCCGCCAAGCAAGGAGCTTGATGCGGGACTTGCTCTCAGGACACTGCGATCATGACCTGAGCTGAAGCCAGACGCTTAACTGACTGAGCCACCCAGGTGCCCCATAAGCCCTGAAGTTTAATTTGGTTCCTATTCTCCCTTGAGGAGCCAGGCCACTGATCCTAACAATTCCACTTCGTCTGCCTTCGTATGCCCAGAAAACTTCCTAGGGAGGATCAAGGCTCATGGTATGGAAGTGAAATGGATTTCATCTTCTCTTTCCTTAGATTCTGACTGTCCAGACACTTCCTCTGCTTCTCCTCCCCCCAGTTTCTAAATATGGATGCCACCACGTGATAAGAGCCACCTACCAGAAGCACAAACTGACTTTGTTAAAACAGAAACCTGTTTGGCCAGAGTCCCTACTTTACATAGCTTCTCCTTAACCTTCACAATGCAGGAAGGGAGTGAAGGGGGTACCACAATTAACTATGATATTTTCCAGATAGATTATGGCATATATAGATCAAGAAGATTCAAGCAAATCATTAATAAACTATTAGAGCACGTGCCCTATGTTGACTAATTTCTCATTCTGAAATTGGAAAGTCTTAATTTTTTGAGTTGTACTCATGAGATCAGGGCAGACCTGAGTTGGGGAAGATGACAGGTGAGGGCAGGTAGTATAGGGGGAAAGCCTAGCAGGCTATTCCCATGAGGATTATCTACTTGGGAGCTTCCAGAATGAATCTAGGAGCATTTTAAAAAGGTCAGGGGTCCCACCATTCTGCAGCTCAGGGCTGAGCATAGGGATGATTCTTTTGCACCCTAAGCCTGGAATATTACTTAGTCATAAAAAAGAATGAAATTTTTCCATTCACAACAATATGAATGGACTTAGGGGGTATTATGCTAACTAAGTGAAATAAGTCAGAGAAAAACAAATACTATATGATTTCACTTATATGTGAAATCTATCTTTTAAAGACTTATTTATTTTAGTGGGGGAAGGGCAAAGGGAGAGGGAGAGAGAGAATCTCAAGCAGACTCCCTGCTGAGTGTGGAGCCCAGCACAGGGCTTGAATCCACAATCCTGAGATCACGACCTGAGCTGAAACCAAGATTTCAGACGCTTAACCAACTGCACAATCCAGGTGCCCCTCACTTTGCCAAATCTTAATCTGTGGAAGTTTGTAACTGCTTTGACCAATAGTGTAGGGCAGAAGTGATGTCCTGTGACTTCTGACACTGTGTTGTCAAAGAACCTGCTGCTTCTGTCTTATTTGTGGGAACATTCATTCTTGGAGTGCTGAAATGCCATGTAGGAAGCCTGACTCCCCAAGATCCGCACGAGGAAACCCAAGCCAAATAGGCTGTGTGTAAGTGCGCTGAATCCAGTTTTCAAGTCACCCCCATCCAGCTACTAGATGTGTGAGTGAGAATTCAGAACTCAGCTGAAGCCCTGGATATGTTGAAGCAGAGAAGCCATCTTTCCTGTGCTCTGTCTCAGTTCCTGACCCACGGACACAGGGAGGATCATACAGTGGTGATTGTTTTACACCGCTACATTTGGGGTAGTTATTTTTGCAGACTTCTCAACAGGAAGCTCTGTGATTTACTCTTCAACTTTTCTCTTTTCCTTGTATATCTCAAGCCCAAAAGCACTTGACAGAACTTTGATTGGCTCAAGGGATAATCACAAAATGACTTCCTTTCAGAAGTGGATTTTTGTTGATTCATTATACTCCTGAGGATATCTTCCATGTAAAAGGCACATTGAAATCAGACAGACTCCCTGAACTCTCAAATGTCACAACTGTGCTATTCCTCATATAATAGAAAGTGAAAATTACACAGAACACCTTCTGTTTAGAATATTTGCAGGTAGCTGGTGTATAAGCTGAGATAAGACTCTGATGGAGGCAGAGATCTTCCAAAGATAATACGCATTAATAGATAGTAGACTTTAAGGGCCGTGCACAATACTTTTTTCCAGGTACCACCTACTTTAGCTGGTGTTCACAAATCACTTCTGTCTTCATTGAAGAATAGACTGTTATTAGCAACCTGAGCAGCCCCAAAATCTCATTTTCTCACTACCCATTCCAACAGGTATTCATTCTCATTAGAATCTACTATTCACTGGCCTCCTTGATCTCCATTCTATTCACTTGGCTAAATCACTATCCTGGTTAAAGCTGTTCTCCACCTACTTTACTAGCAACCAAGTGAACAGCCATAGTTGATGCAAAACCACACGAAATTGTATCACTAAGTTCACAATACCTCACCTCAGTACTGTCCCTCTCCCCAAGACACATTCTTGGCCTCTCATCAAACCTCCCACACCTCTTTCCCAGCCTACTATTAGGCAAAAGGATGTTCATTTCTTAATGAAATCCTTCAAACAAAGAAAGGTACAGAAAATAATATAGCACACAAACATGTAACCATCACCTCACTTTGCCAAATCTTATTTTTTTTTAAGATTTCTTTTTTTTTTAAAGATTTATTTATTTTTATTTTGGGAGAGTGAGAATGAGAGAGAGAGAGAGAGAGTACATGAGAGGGGGGAGGATTAGAGGGAGAAGCAGGCTCCTCGCTGAGCAGGGAGCCCGATTTCATCCATTCATTTGACAGAGCGATCACAAGTAGACAGAGAGGCAGGCGGGGGGGTGGGGAAGCAGGCTCCCTGCTGAGCAGAAAGCCTGATGCGGGGCTCAATTGCTGAGACCATGACCCAAGCCGAAGGCAGACGCCCAACTGACTGAGCCACCCAGGTGCCCCTATTTTTTTTCTTTAAAGATTTATTGATTTATTAGAGAGCACAGAGCCCAACATGGGACTTGATCCCACAACCCTGAGATCATGACCTGAGCCGAAACAAAGAGTTGGACACTTAACCAACTGCACCACCCAGATGCCCCTTACTTTGCCAAATCTTAATATTTTGCCATTGGGACACCTGGGTGGCTCAGTCGTTAAGAGTCTGCCTTCAGCTCAGGTCATGATCCCAGGGTCCTGGGAACGAGCCCTACATCGGGCTCCCTGCTCAGCAGGAAGCCTGCTTCTCCCTCTCCCACTTCCCCTGCTTGTGTTCCCTCTCTCACTGTGTCTCTCTCTCTCTGTCAAATAAATAAATAAAATCTTTTAAAATTAAAAAAAAATAAAAATATTTTGCCATCTTTAAGAAATTAAACATTATACAGTTGAATCCCTTTATGTATCCCTTCTGATTCCCTTCCTCCCTATCCAAATGTATCTACTACCTAGAATTTAATATCAGTCCATGATCACACACACACTCCTTCCCCAGGTGCCAACTCAGGTTTTTAAAAATGTCTACCACTCTCTGCCAAGGTGTCGGTCTGATGTTGCTTCTGGATGAAGCCAGTAGTACCTAGTGCACACTAAAGAGGGTGTCCCTATACCCCAGGGAGGCTGACTTCAGAGTGGGGACTACCCACCTGTACTTTGGAGGTAGCCTTTGGCTGCTGAAAGTTTGTAGTAAAAGTATAGACAGAGTAGGGGCAGTGCAAGGGTCTCTTGTACTGCTCTGTTGGAGAGGTCCCTCTCTAAGAAGTATAGATGTTATGGGATAAGGTATAAATGAAGAGCCTCCTGAACGCTTTGGGCTGCTCTGGAACTCCAGAGACCATTATAAAGCCAGGAAGTTATAGTGAAGTTTCTAGAAAAATGTTTCAATAGAAGTATAAGGCATTATGTCAGTGCCTTTAAATAGTTTCTATTTCTGTCCACTGAAATGACCTAGAAGCAAAGATACTTCATTAACAATGAACACATATAGTGCTCAATTTAGAATCGAGGTATTAATCCAGGGGTTAATTTTAACATCACTAAGCATGAGACAGCCAGAAAATATCTGCCCCGATGTGATCTGCTCCTCCAGAGAAGAACCAAGTTAAAAACATTTTTAAAAAGGGCCACCTGGGTTGCTCAGTTGGTTAAGTATCAGATGCTAGATTTTGGCTCAGATCATGATCTCAGGGTCACGAGATCAAACTCTGTGTCAGGCTCCGTGCTGGGTGTGGAGTCTGCTTAAGATTCTCTTTCTCCCCCTCCCTCTGCCCCTACCCTGCCACTCCCCCTCTAAAAAAACATTTTTAAAAATCTCTGTATCTCATCTTTCCATGACCATTACTCATTAGAGAGTCTGAGACAAAGTACATAACCAATGTATGTCTGTTGAGTTGAATTGATGTGAACTAGGTAAAAAGATGCAATGATGGAAGCAGTATTATTGGTTAGAATCTGGAGGTCACAGTGAGAACCACTCAACCCCTCATGCTTGCATTAGTGGTCTACAACTTCTCTGGAATATATGAAGCTGTTTGATAGTCTTCCAAATTAAGTTGCAGAAAGTCTATTTCTTTCTACTGATAGAATCTACTGATAACAATGAACTTGCTATGTTTCCTTGAGTGAACAATGGGTATGGAAAGGACAATTTTATCCCTTCTTGCTTAGGTGCTGAATATGAGGATCAGACCAGCCAAAAGGAGAAGGAAGATGATAAAGTCATTCCTGGTGAAAGCCATACCTATGTCTGGCAGGTCCTGAAAGAGAACGGTCCAATGGCCTCTGATCCACCATGTCTCACCTACTCATATTTTTCTCATGTGGACCTGGTGAAAGACCTGAATTCAGGCCTCATTGGAGCCCTGCTGGTTTGCAAAGAAGGTAAGTGTGAGAAAGGGTAGGACTCAAATCAAATAAGCATGGAAGTATAAACATCTGGGTCAATTATTAAAGCATTGTGTTCTTCCAAACCTCCAAAGGAGGTTTCTTTTCCCTAGCAACATGCCCATGGAAAGAAAATACTACATTCAGTGGGCTATCTCAGTAGTACCTTTTGTAAATTTTGTGTTAAGTTCCCTGAAAGCTTTCTGGAGATAAACACATCCAACTGTGTCATCTGTATCTCAAAAGCATTTAAAAATTGGAGAAAAGCAGGGTGCCTAGGTGGCTCAGTCAGTTAAGTCCAACTATTGATTTTAGCTCAGGTCTTAATCTCAGGGTTGTGAATTCAAGCCCCACATTGGGCTCTGCATTGGGCTCTGCACTGGGTGTGGAGCCTACTTTAAAAAAAAATAGGAGAAAAGCGAACATTTATAACTGTTATTCTAAAAATCATCTTAAATTTAATTAAACCTGGGGCACCTGGGTGGCTCAGTCCAGATCCCATTATCCTGGGATTGAGCCCCACATCGGGCTACCTGCTCAGCAGGGGACCTGCTTCTCCATCTCCCTCTGCTGTTCCTCCTGCTTGTGCTCACTCTCTATCAAATAAATAAATAAAATCTTTAAAAAAAAAAAAAAACAGCAGTATCAGATCCCTGGCCAGACTGGAGACCTTATATGAGCCACTCTACCTCTCAGAATGACAGCTGGATCTGCAGTCCTCTTGCAGCCCACTGTCTGAGGATTTCTAATGAGGCTGTAGTCAAATAGTGCTGGAGCCAAGGTCATCCCGAATGAAACTTTATTCACATGTCTGGCACGTGGGCTTGGAAACTCAAATAGCTGGAGCTTTCCACAGGGTCTTTTCAGCATGGGAGCTACAGGGTAGCCAGAAGTTTTTTTCCTTTTAAATGGACTCTATTTTTAGAGTAGTTTAGGTTTACAGAAAAATTGAGCAGAAAGTACAGAGAATTCCCAAATACCACCTGTCCACCACCCACACACAGCCTGCCCCACTATCAACATCCTGCACCAGAGTGGTATGGCTGTTACAATTGGTGAACCTACACTGACATATCATTATCAACCAAAGTCCATACTTTACATGAGGGTTCACTCTTGTTGGTTTGCAGTCTACAGGTTTGGACAAATATAGAATGACATGTATCCACCATTATAGTATCATACAAAATAGTTTCACTATTCTAAAAATCCTCTGTGTCCCCACCTATTCATCCTTTCCTGTCCCACCCCCTAGCAACCACTGATTTTTTAAATTGTCTCCATAGTTTTGCCTTTTCCAAAATGTGAAATAGTTGAAATTATACAGTATGTAGCCTTTTTATATTGGCTTCTTCCAGTTAGTAATATGCATTTAGGTTTCCTCCATGTCTTCTCATGGCTTGATAGCTTTTTTCTTTTTTTTTTTAAGATTTTATTTATTTATTTGACAGAGAGAGACACAGCGAGAGAGGGAACACAAGCAGGGGGAGTGGGAGAGGGAGAAGCAGGCTTCCCGCCAAACAGGGAGCCCGATGCGGGGCTCGATCCCAGGACCCTGGGATCATGACCTGAGCTGAAGGCAGATGCTTAACGACTGAGCCACCCAGGCACCCCTGGATAGCTTTTTTCTTATTAGCACTGAATAATATTCTGTTGTCTGGATGGACCACAGTTTATTTATCTACTCACCAATGAAGGACATCTTGGTTGCTTCCAAGTTTTAACAGTTACGAATAAAGCTGCTATAAACATCCATGTGCAGGTTTGTATGCATACATAGTTTTCAACCCCTTTGGGTAAATGCCAAGGAGCACAGTTGCTGGAGCCTATGGCAAGAGTATGCTTTCTTTTGTAAGAAACTGCCAACCTGTTTTCCAAGGTGGCTGTATCATTTTGTATTCCCAGCAGCAACGAATGAGACTTCCTGCTCTTCCTCATCCTCACCAGCTTTTGGTATTGCCAGTATTTTGGAATTTGGCCAGTCTTATAGGTATGTAGTGGTAATCAAATTGCTGTAATTTGCATTTCCGTGATAACATATGATGTGAAGCATGTTTTTATTTTTAAATTTTTATTTATTTATTTGAGATAGAGAACACAAGCAGGGAGGAGGGGCAGAGGGAGAGGGAGAAGCAGACTGCCTGCTGAGCAGGGAGCCTGACATGGGGCTCAATCTCAGGACCCCAAGTTCATAACCTGAGCCAAAGTCAGATGCTTAACTGACTGAGCCACCCAGGTGTCCCATGAAGCATGTTTTTATATGCTTATTTGCCCTCTGTATATCTTCTTTGCTGAGGTGTCTGTTCAGGTCTTTTTCCCATTTTTAAATCAGATTGTTTTCTTATTGAGTTTTAAGAGTTCTTTGTATATTTTGGATAACAGTCTATCAGATTATGTCTTTTGTAAATATTTTCTCTCAGTCTTTGGCTTGTCTTCTCTTTCTCCTTAGTAGCCAGATCTTTTATGTGGTGGCTCATGCAGTCTTTTATATGGTCCCTTTTTTAACCTGGCCTCAAGTTACACAGCATCCCTTCTGCCTCATTGTGTTTGTTAGAATGAATCACTATGGCCAGTGCACAAAGAGTGAGGGGAATTAGACTCCACCTTTTGATGGGAGGATAAGCAAAGAATTTGTGAACATGAACCACCATTTCTGGATGATGATGATGATTATGATTCCAAAAGAACAAGAGGGGAGGGAATAGAAGATGACCAGAAGAATTTGTACTCGTTTCATTTGGAAGTATTATCTCTTATATAATAAGTTCCATTTCATAGGCATAATTAATGACAAAGTGCTCAACCACAGTGTGTTATTTGTGAGATACAAAGTTTAATAAAACAATAAAATCATCGGGGCACCTGGGTGTCTCAGTTAAGCATCCAACTCTTGATCTCAGCTTGGGTCTTGATCTCAGGGTCGTGAGTTCAAGCTCCATGTTGGTCTCTACACTGGATGTGGAGCCTACTTAAAAAATAATAATAAATAAATAAATAAAATCATCAAAACATGTTTACCTATAAAATATAAATAAATAAATTTAAAATTAAAAGGATTATTTGGCAGAAAATTGACTTAAAAGGTCAACACAGAGGCACCTGGCTGGCTCAGTCAGTGGAGCATGCAACTCTTGGTCTCGGGGTTCTAAGTTTGAGCCCCACATTGGGTATAGAGATTACTTAAAAGTCAAATCTTTATTAAAAAATTAAAATAAATAAATTTAAAAATTAAATAAATTTTTTAAAAAGTACAATCTTTAAAAAAAAGTCAACAGAGGTTCTAGTTTTAGGTAAGATGGAAGAAACATATACCACCCTTTATCTCCCATTAGCTCAACTATAGAACCTTGACAAAATGCATAGCCAGCCATTTGAGAGTCCTAAAAATCAAATAGAACAAACAGGTCAGGAAAAGGCATCAGAATTTAAAGTACCACCAAACTGGTGGAGAATTTCTCTTTTTATTCCCCTTCAGAATTCCCCAAATGGGCAAAGGATGTGAATAGATATTTCTGGGGGGAAAAAGATATAGATATGGTTAACAAGTATATCAAAAGGTGCTCAACATCACTAATCATCAGGAAAAGGCAAATCAAAACCACAAAGAGATATCACCTCACACCTGTCAGAATGGCTAAAAGTAACAACACAGGAAACAACAGATGTTGGTGAGGATGCGGAGAAAGGGGAACCTCTTACACTATTGGTGGGAATGCAAACTGGTGCAGCCACTCTGGAAAACAGTATGGAGGGTCCTCAAAAAGTGAAACATAGAACTACCCTGTGACCCAGCAATTGCACTACTAGGTATTTACCCCAAAGAATACAAAAATACAGATTTGAAGGGATATATGCACCCCAGTGTCTATAGCAGCATTATCTGTTATAGCCGGATTCTGGAAAGAGCCCCATCCATTCATCAAATCAATTGATGAATGGATAAAAAAGATGTGGGGTGTGCGTGTGTGTGTGTGTAGGAATGTTATTATATAGTGAACTATTACTCAGCCATAAAAAAGAATGAAATCTTGCCATTTACAATGACAGGGATGGAGCTAGAGAGTATAATGCTAAGCGAAATAAGTCAGAGAAAGACAAATACCATATGATTTCACTCGTGAAATTTAAGAAACAAAACATATGAGCAAATGGGGAAAAAAGGAAACAGAGAGGAAAACCAAGAAACAGGCTTAACTACAGAACAAACTGATGGTTACCAGAGAGAAGTGGGGGGGATGAGTTACATAAGTGATGGGGATTAAGGAGGACACTTGTGGTGAGCTCTGGGTACTGCATGGGGGTGTTGAATCACTATATTGTACACCTGAAAGTAATATTACACTGTATGTTAACTAACTGGAATTTAAATAAATCTCTAAAAAATTAGTATTCTATATACTTTCAATGAATAACTGGAAACCAAAATGTAAGAAAGAATGTTAACAATAGCTCCAAAAATGGAAAGCTTAGGTGTAAATCTAACAAAACATGTACACTGTCTGTATGGCGAAAACTACAAAGTGAAAGAAGTCAAACAGAGAGACATACTGTTTGTGTACTGTAAGATTCAGTATAGTAAAGATCTCAGTTCTCCCCAGTCTGTAGGTTCTCAGCAAGATTTTTTTGTGGTCACAGACAAGCTGATTCTGAAATTTATATGAAAAAGCAAAAGTACTAGATTAGCGGGGCGCCTGGGTGGCTCAGTCGTTAAGCATCTGCCTTTGACTCAGGTCATGATCCCAGGGTCCTGGGATCGAGCCCCGCATTGGGCTCCCTGCTCGGCGGGAAGCCTGCTTCTCCCTCTCCCACTCCCCCTGCTTGTGTTCCCTCTCTCGCTGTCTCTTTCTCTGTCAAATAAATAAATATATAAAATATTTTTTAAAAAGGTACTAGATTAGCTAAAATGATTTTGCAAAAGAATAAATTTGGAGTAATAATCCTACTCAGTTTTGCAATTTACTACAAAGCTGCTGTAATCATAATGTGTTAGTTAACGGAATAGACCTGTAGATCAATGAAATAGAATAAAAGTCGGGAAATAGATCCACACAAGTGAGCCCAATTGATTTGGTGCAAAAACAACTCAAAGGAAGCGTCTTTTCGACAAATGGTGTTGGAACAGTTGGACATCTATATGCAATGATCCTTAGACCTCACTAGTTATACAAAGAGTTACTCAAAATGAATTGTAGCTTTAAATGTAATATGTACAACCATAACACTTGTCTTCATGACCTGTGAACACCTCCTTCATGACCTGAGGTTAAGAGAAGGCTCCTGAGAAAACATCACAAACACAGTCCATAAAAGAAAAAATTGATAAGTGTGACTTCATCAACATTAATAATTTTTGCTTTTGTAATAAAAAAGCACTGTTTTTTTAAAGATGTTTTTAATTTATTTTTTGACAGAGAGAGACAGCGAGAGAGGGAACACAAGCAGAGGGAGTGGCAGAGGGAGAAGCAGGCTTCCCGCTGAGCAGGGAGCCCAATGTGGGGCTCGATCCCAGGACCCTGGGATCATGACCTGAGCCGAAGGCAGACACTTAATGACTGAGCCACCCAGGCGCCCCCAAAAAACACTGTTAAGAGAATGAAGAGACAAGCTACAGACTGGGAGGAAATATTTGCCAGTCACATATCTGGCAAAGGACTGATGTGATATATATAAAAAATATATTCACAATAACGAAGATATTTTTATATGTTTTACATATGTATTATACATGTGTATTATATATGTATGTATTATAAAACATTTTATTTTATAAAACATGCTCTCAAATCTCAACAATAAGGAAAAAAATCCATTTTTAATGGGCAAAATATTTGAATAGATAATTCACCAAAGAAGATATACAAGTGCCAAATAAATACCTGAAAAGATGTCCAGTATCATTGGCCACTAGAGAAATGCATATTAAAACCACAATGAAATACTGCTACATATTTATTAGAATACCTAATGTAATAATTTAAAAAATTGTTAAGAATGCTGTCAAGAATGCAGACCAACAGGAAGTCTCATACATTGTTGCAGGGGATTCAGTATAGCCACTCTGGAAAACATTTTGGCAGTTTAATATTGTGATTTAAATAAAATATGTATTTGGTTTTCATCTCCTTCCTGATAGAGCTTCTAAAACTCTTGAGATTTTTCTATAATGAGAGCAATAAAGATGTCTTTTGTTTTGTTAGTGAGGTGATTTTTGGACCATGTACCTAAGGATGGGGGCTGATTGCCAGTAGGGTCAACCAAGTGATTAGAGGGCTGGAATTTTCAGTCTCACCCACTCTAAACCACCCCCCAGGAGGAGAGAGAGGGACTAAGTATTGAGTTCAGTTGCCAATGGCTAATGATTTAATCAATCATGCCTATGTAATGAAGCTTCCGTAAAACAAACAAACAAACAAACAAACAAAAGGACGGGGTTCAAAGAGCTTCCAGGTTGGTGAACACCAGGAGATTTGAGGAAAGTGGCATACCTGGAGGAGGGCATGGGAGCTCTGCATCTTTTCCCCATAACTTGCCCTACACATCTCTTCCTTCTGGCTGTTTCTTAGCTATATCTTTTTTGAATGAACTGGTGATCTACTAAGTAACATGTTTCTCTGAGTTCTGTGAGCTGCTCTAGCAAATTAATGGAACCCAAGAAGGGAGTTTTGGGAACCTCTGATCTGTAGAGGTTGGTCAGAAGCACAGGTGATGACCTGGACTTTGGATTGGCATCTGACGTATGGGTGCAGGGAAGTCTGGTAGAACTGAGCCCTTAACCTGTGGGAATCTACACCATCTCTAGAGAAAGAGTTTCAGAATTAAGTTTAAATGTAGGACACCCAGCTGATGTCACAGAATTGCTTGGTGATAGGGAAAAACCCATGTATACTGGAATTGTTGTCACAATTATAGGCAATTTCTTATAAAGGTAAATATATATTTAATTTCCATTCCTGAGTATTTACCCTAGACTAATGAAAACTTAATATTCACATAAAAATCTGTACGTACATTAATGTTCACAGCAGCTTTATTTGTAATAGCCAAGAACTGGAAACAACCTAAATGCCCTTCAGCAAGTGAATGGTTAAACAAACTGTGGTACATCCATACCATGAAATACTCCTCATCAATAAAACAAAATGAAGTACTGATAGATGCAACAAAATGGATGAATCTCAAAGGCATTATACTGAGTAAAAAAGCCAATCTCAAAAGGTTCTATATTGTATGGTTCCATTTATATGACAATCTCAAAAATACAAATATATTGCAGTGGGGAGCAGATCAGTGGTTGCCAAGGGTATGACCATATGTATGACTCTCTCTCTCACTATGACTATATATGTGTCTATAAAGGGATAGAAGGAGGGAGTTTTTTGGGATGTTGGAACTGTTCTGTGTCCTGATGGTTGGTGGTTTCATGAATCTATACCTGTGTTAAGACCCACAGACTTATACACCAAAAGTAAAACTCAGTTTCACTACTTGGTAATTTTGAAAATAAAAAGAATTCAAATGTTTTCAGACAGCTTTACCTATATATTAAATTTGTATAGGTGAGTTACTTTCTTCGTCCAATCGAAGATTTACTTTCAAGTGTCAAGGGTACAAGAAAAAAGGAGAATGGCATAAACAAAAATCTTCCTGCTTAAAGTAAGCCTGCAAAGGAAATTTCCCAATCAAATGAAGAAATACAATTCTAAGAAAGACAACCAACAAATTCAATAATTAAAGCATGAAGCAAGTTCATTTGTAACATTAACAGCTTGAAATATTGGTATACATGGTGTTCACTTATTTATATTTGCCTATATGCACACTTCCCATGAACAGCATTTACAGGTTTTGCAATTTTCCTCTTTTAAGTTTGTTCTGAATACATGTATATATACTTATATGAAATATGATTATATGGGCTTATATTTTGCATGTTTCTTTAATTTCATTTTCTGAGTAATTCATTTTTCTTGTATTTTACATAAGTACTGGTCTGCAACAAATTTGAAATGAAAAAAGTCGTTTAACCGAAATAGTATTAGAAGAACTGGTATAGGACACCTGACACCAAAGAAGCAATACTATGGTAAAGTTAACAGGAGACCAAGAGACGAAGCAGTAGATGAAGTGATGTCTCCTCCTAGTGTTGATTTCCTATGACAGGATTCTCAATAGAAGATAAATGTTCTCACTTCTTTTTCAGGGAGTCTGGCCAAAGAAAGGACACAGACCTTGCATGAATTTGTACTACTTTTTGCTGTATTTGATGAAGGTTAGTGAGCTGCAATCTGAATTTGGGTCTCCTAAAAAAATAGAATATATTAATTTAATCTGGTATTTGAGAATGAGGGCTGCTATTGTCTAGAGGAAGTGATTATAGAAAGATCATAAACTACTGTTCAGGAATGAAGGAAGTGGGGATGGAACTGAATTTCCAGAAAAAAATACAGCCTGAGTTCCTTTGGGAGCTATCAGGTAAGAAGATAGAGGAGCTGGGTAACAGGCTGGGCTTATCCCCCTCATTAAATCCATTAACAAAGACTTTTAGCTCTAATTTTTAAATACTTCCTCTTATCTTTTTTTATTATTATTATGTTATGTTAGTCACCATACATTACATCATTAGTTTTTGATGTAGTGTTCTGTGATTCAATATTTGCATATAACACCCAATGCTCCATGCAGAATGTGCCCTCTTTAATGCCCATCACCGGGCTAACCCATCCCCCCACCCCCTCCCTTCTTATCTTTTTTTATAAAATTTTATTTATTTTTTAATTTAAATTTTTAAAAGATTTTAAGTATAATTGACATCTATTAGTTTCAGGTGTAGAGAATAATGATCCAATTATATATATTATGAAATGCTCACCATGATAAGTGTATTGCAGTAGTATTGAATTGCAGTAATATTCCCTAGGCTGTACTTTCATCCCTGTGACTTACTTGTTTTATAACTGGAAGTTTGTACTTCATTAACCCCTTCACCTACTTGCCCATCTCCCAACCCCCCCGTCAACCACCAGTTTGTTCTCTGTGTTTGTGGGTCTGTTTCTGCTTTGTCTGTTTTGTTTTTTAAATTCTACATAAAAGTGAAGCCATACAGTATTTCTCTTTCTCTGACTCATTTCACTTAGCATAAGTGAAATACTCTCTAGGTCCATTTATGTTGCTGCAAATGGGAAGATCTCATTCTTTTATGTGTGTATATATATATATATATATATATATACACACACATATATACACATAAAGAACAGGTGTTCTTTACCTGTTCTTTACCCATTGATCTATGGATGGACACTTCGGCTGCTTCCATATCTTGGCTATTGTAAATAATGCTGCAGTAAACATAGGGGTGCATATATCCCATCGAATTAGTGATTTTGTATTTTGGGGGTAAATACCCAGAAGTGGAATTACTGGATCATAGAGTAGTTCTATTTTTCATGTTTTGAGGGCCCTCCATACTGTTTTCCACAGTGTCTGCACCAGTTTGCACTCCCAACAATAGTGCACGAGGGCTCCTTTTTCTCCTTGTCCTCGCCAATACCTGTTATCTCTTGTGTTTTTGATACTAGCCATTTTTTGAGTAATGTGAGGTGGTATTTCATTGCAGTTTTGATTTGTATTTCCCTGATGATTAGTAATTTGGTTGAGCATCTTTTCATGTGTCTTTTTAAGACAAATTTTTTTAAAAAATGAATATTTAAGGGATACAACATGATGATTTGATATACAAAAGATAATAAAATGATAACTATAGTCAAGCTAATCAATATATGTCTCCTCACATAGTTACCATTTTTTGTGTGTGATGAGTGCACCTATAACCTACTCCTTTAGCATATTTTCAATGTTCAATACAGTATTATTAACTGTAGTTATCACACCTGTATAGTAGATCCCTGGAACTTACTCATCTTAAGACAAAGTTTGGGAGCACCTGAGTGGTGCAGTTGGTTGAGTGTCCAACTCTTGGCTTTGTCTCAGGTCATGATCTCAGGATTATGAGGTTGAGCCTCTGTGTCAGACCCTCTGCTCAGCGCAGAGTCTGCTTGAGGATTCTTTCTCTACCCCTCTCTTCCCCTCCCCCTCTCTAAAAAAAATAAATCTTTAAAAAAGTACTGAGAGTTTGTAGTCTTTAGACAATAATTTCCCATTTCCCCCACCCCTCTGCTCCTGGCAACCAGCATTCTGCTGTGTGCTTCTATGTGGCAAGTTACTTAAACTCCCTGTGTCTCAGTTTCCTCAAATTGAAAATTGAAATAATAATACTTTCTTCATAGGATAGTTGTGGGGATTAAGTAAGTGAGTTAAATTAAGTAACTTAGAACATTATGTGGTGCAGAACTTCTGCCACCTCCTCCTCCTAATATAAGCAACAGCATGATCATCTTCTCTCCCATCTTATCCTCCCACACTGCCTCTTCTGAATTGAGGACCTCATCATCCCTCTCCTGACTAGTCTCCCTGTCTTTTTGTGTCCCCAACACTCCATTATTACTGATGACCTGTCTAGCCTCACTGTACAGGCCCCAGCCACCCTGAACACAGTTTGTATCACACTGAAACGTGCCATGCTCTTTCTTGCATCCAGACCCTTGTTTATGCTGTTACCTCTGCCTAGAAAGCCTGTCTGCACCTTCACACTAAGTTAAGTTTTTCCTTCTCCTTCCAGTCTGCATTTTACATTTATACGTTTCCACAGCACCTGGAGTTTCCTCTTTATCACACTAAATCATCATTGCGTGCCTCTTTGATTTTATATCCCTTTCCCTTCAAGTAAAGTGAAGTCCCTTCTCCTCTCTGCATCTGTATTAGCCTGTTCTAATCTCTGTTACATTACTCTGTACTCTGTTATAATTGTCAATTTCTCTATTCAAGCTAAATTGTAAGCACCTTGAAGGCAGAGACTGTCTTCTCTGTCCTCAGTGCCTAGCACTCAGTAGTGCTCAGTAAATATGTTTGGATGAATGAACGAATCAGTAGATGAACAGATAAAGGAACTTAATTTCAGGGAGGTAGGTCGAAAGCTTTCAGGTTTTTGAGTTTTCATTCATTCATTACTACAATCTGAATGAAGCAATTAGGACGAGGACAGGGACTGACAGCCCTTTTCTAAGATGATTTCCATCTGCTCCCTTTTAAATGAGTCAGTGAATGAATAGAATGAAGTCCTCATGGCACAAACCGACCAATATTCTCCCTTCTAGTTATCATTTGCCATCATCCCTTCCCATCTACTGTCATGGACAAATATAGGGAGAGATAATCAATTTGAGCAAGAAATGTCTGCCTTTTGGTAATTGTCTTCTGCCTTTCTCTTACTGACTTTGAGGGCAAGTCATCCATGCCTACTGTGCTGACAAAAATGCCTAAGGTGTGAGCACTCTTTGCCCCTTGGGAGGGAGGGAAGATGATTCATGAGACAGACACTTAGCTGGCCCTATATTTGCCTCCTCTCTCATCAGGGAAAAGTTGGCACTCAGAAACAAATGAGTCTTTGACACAGGCTTTGGATCCTGCATCCGCTCAGGCCCAGCATGAAATGCACACAGTCAATGGCTATATAAACAGGTCTCTGCCAGGTATGTACACACCTGCTCAAGAATCCTCAGGGTCAGGGCACCTGGGTGGCGCAGCCAATTAGGCGTCTGACCCTTGGTTTCAGCTCAGGTCATTATCTCAGGGTCATGAGGTGGAGCCCTGCTTTGTGTGCCACCCTCAACGGGGAATCTGCTTGAGAACCTTTCCCTCCCCTTCTGTCCCTTCCTCCATGCATGCTCTCTCATGCACTCTCTCAAATAAATAAATAAATAAAATCTATAAAAAAAAAAAAAAAGAATCCTTAGGGTCTTCTGCATTCACCACCAGAGCTCTCTTCTCTGGTTCTCGTCAGACAGCTCTGTATCCCCAGAGGAAAGCCCACTGAATTCTGGCCTCTGGTGGGGTCTTAAACTGAAGTGGCTGATTCTTCTTTCAGTCACCTAAAAATGAAGGCCTGCCCATGTACACAGAGCTCACAGATTTCTCTTTCCTTTTGCTTAAATATAGGTGAACAGCCAAGGATGAACAAATATTTAAGGGAAACCTAAAACATGAAAGGGATATGCAAAGATAAACAAAAAATAATAATCCCAGAAGAAAAAGAGATAATACTTAGAAGAAAACTTGTCAAAAGGTCTACTTAGTATTTTCATAAAGATTCAAGAAGATACTGCATCAATATAGTAATAATATGATTCTATGAAAAGAAACAATCAAACCAAGAGTATGCTAACAAAAGTTAGGAATATTATTGTGAAAATACAAACTCAATAGAAGGTAGTTAGAATAGAGAAAATCTTCCAGAAAGTAAAACAAAAAGAGATTTGGAATACATTTTAAAACAGATTTTAAAAATCAAAGAAATTATAGAAGAAAGTATTAAGGATGAAAATATTTGAGTTTTCATACTCAGATTTCCCAGCAGGATAAATAAAAAAAGATCCCCACACGAAATTATGATTGTGGAATTTCAGAGAACAAAGAGAAGATGTTAAAGCTTCCCCTGGGAAAAACAGGTCCCATACAAAGGCATGAGAATTAAATTGGCAATACCATTCAGGGCTTTCTAGGCCTTACTAGAGAGTTTGGATTTGAGACAGACAAGAATTAAGATGTGGGGGTGGTAATGATGGTGAAAAAATATGTGTATTTGAAAGTTTCAGGAGGCAAAATATGAGACAGCTGTGCCCTAGTAGTTAACAGTGTAAGATCTAAACATGCAGCTGCTTGGGTTCCGATTTGAGCTGAGCATCAGGATCCTCTCCTGATAACAATAGTTTCTACATTCATATGGTTACTGGAGTTGAATGAGTTAAAACTTGTAAAACAGTTTGGACAGTGCTTGATATAAAACAAGTGCTCAGTAAATATTAGTATTATCAATTATATTGCCATAATTAGTATCAGACTGGATTTAGGAAGTGAGAGAGAATTTGATATTGTTCAAAGAGAAAGTATTTATTAACAAGAGAATAAGCCTAGGGCTGCGTCCTAGGTGATCCGTCATTTAATGAAGGGTCAGGAAAGGAGGCAGAGGAGGGAGCTATCTAAACAACAGGGGAACAAAACCCAGAGAGGTGTTGGCACAGAGGACAAGGGAGGAAGAGAATCTTAAGAAGGAATGAGTGGTTACCAGGTGCAGATTATTGAAAAGTGTCCATTGGATTTAGCTGCACGAGACACTCATTGCTGACCTTGGCAAGAGCTGTTGGTTTGGCAGTATCCCAGCATCCTCGGAAAGTTTGGTTCCAAGTTAGTAATAAAATTTGAAGGTCAATTTGTCTATCCTATCCTAGAAAGTGTTTTCCATTTCAAATTCTCTACTTCTTGACCATAACTGTCTTATTTTCCCATGTTACAGGTCTGACTGGATGTCACAAGAGATCAGTCTATTGGCATGTGATTGGAATGGGCACCACCCCCGAAGTGCACTCAATTTTTCTAGAAGGTCACACATTTCTTGTGAGGAACCATCGCCAGGCCTCCTTGGAGATCTCATCAGTAACTTTCCTTACTGCTCAGACATTCCTGATGGACTTTGGCCAGTTTCTACTGTTTTGTCATATCCCTTCCCACCAACATGGTAATATCTGTTGATCTTAAAAATGAGTATTATAAATATTCAGCTCTTCTTTTACTGTCCACTGTCCATTATAAGATTTTACCTTGGTTGTAAGAGGGCTTGAGTGTTAGTAGTACTGGTGAATTTTTAGTTTAAACGACTATAATAGCAGAGGGGAGACATTTTAGGGACAAATGAGGTGGTGAAAGTGGGGAGGACAGTATATCATTGGTTTCCTAGCCAGATCCCATTAACTAGGCTTCAGTGCTATGGAGAGAGGGATTGTAGATCATAGCTAAAGAGATGTGGTTTTTTTAAAGATTTTATTTGCTTATTTGACAGAAAGAGACACAGCGAGAGAGGGAACACAAGCAGGGGGAGGGGCAGAGGGAGCCCGATGTGGGACTCAGTCCCAGGACCTGGGATCATGACCTGAGCCGAAGGCAGACGCTTCACCCACTGAGCCACCCAGGCACCCCTGAAGAGATGTTTTTTGAGAAATTTAAGGAAATAAAAAAAGTCCAGCATTGTCTAGGTTGTAACCACAAGGGCTGCGGGCTAGCAGTAGTGATGTCCAGAGGATATTGCAGTACTCAGTATGAAACACCAGACTACTGGTGTACATGGAGGCACTCCATCAATACCTAGAAGGAGATGAGAGACATGGGAAATACAGAGCCTGTTGGGCATAACAGACACTGGGAGAAGCAATGTGGGAGTGGAAGTTGGTGAGCATATGTGAAACACCACGTGAGGTTTTCAAAGACTTCTTAATGAGGACTTTGCAAAGGGTTAAAGGTCCTGTCTAAGCAAGTTGGGACAGTAATACGGTTCCAAATTATCATTAATGTGACCTCATTTGTAGCTACAGACTGAAAATTCATATAACATGATCATCCCACCCCCATTTTCCTTCTTGTATATTTACTCTGCTAACTCTTAATGTTGGATCAATCTAACATTCCTCTTTGTCTTCTCCTCTGTTGTGGCCCATGAGGGTTGTTGGAGAAAAATGTTGAGGAGGCCTAATCTTTCGTGTCTAACAGCACTTGTTTGTTCTAGCACTCTTGTATTACTCCTCTCTTCAGATTCCTTGCTTGCCTTGGAGAAGAGATTTGATCTTGCCATGCATCCACCATTTTCTCCTTATGTTCTGTGAGTGACCTTGTTTATAGTGCTCTGTAGTGATGAAGAATAGGGACCTCTTTTCCTCATCTGTTACATAATTTTATGGGACTTTTGACAAGATGTTAAGGGACAAATGAAGTTGATCCTGTAGGCACAGAGAAATAGGTCATTTACTTGTATGCAAGTTGGTTGTTACCTAGTTTGAGGAATTTACTTTATGTTTTGTTTTATTATTTTGACTTTTTCCCACTGATTTTAATTGCCACTTTTTCAGAAAAATGCTTTGTCTTGTTGGACCGCAGACAAATCCTTTCATTTTAGATCTAGAATGAATTATGTTTAAAGCCTCATGAACCCCAGACTACTTGTTTGCTGCTCCTGAAATCTACCATATTCCCCATCCTGTAGTAAATAGGTCTGCCTTCTTAGTATTGATTTTCAAAATAGCCCTATAACATAGATTGGGTGGGAATTATTACTATCCACATATTATAAAGCTAAAGATGAGATTGAAATTGTTGAATAGACTTGCTGAAGGACTTATAACTAGTCACAGGCAGACATGCTCTTAAAACATATAACATATATTTCCTTAACTCTAAGTTGTACCTTTTCATGTTTTTATGAACTTCAAATGTCTTAAAATTTATATCTACACTGACATTTTTCCTAGTAAACTTATTAAATCAATGGTTTATATCATAATTCAATGGAGTACATATAGAAATCATTAGGTAACTGGCAGAATGGGGAGTTGGTTTGACCTAGGCATCCAAATGCTGAAAATATACAGTTTCTCAAGTCTACTTGTTTATAATTAGAGAATTGGAGAGTGATGTGTTCAGAGCCAATTCCAGAAGGAAAATATTCATACATATTATAAGAGCAAATGAGTGAGCCTTGAAAGAAGGATAAAACATATACTGGAGGAGAGTGAGGCAGAAGGGGAATGGTGAGTGCAAAGATCATAGGAAGAAACCAGCAAGTACCAGCTACGGGGAAGGTAATCCCTATAGGAGAGTGACAAGATAAGGGTATAGGTGTGGGGAAGGGAACACTTAAGAGAGGGTCTTGAAGGCCTAATGAGAGACAAAGAAGTTGTAGAAGTTAAGGCAAGTCTTACAGGAATCTGACATTGTTTGGTTTGTCTGACCTCAGGTGGTATGGAAGCTTATGTCAAAGTAGATAGCTGCCCAGAGGAACCCCAACTACGGATGAAAAATAATGAAGAAGAGGAAGATTATGGTGATCTTTATGACTCTGACATGGACGTGGTTAGCTTTGATGATGACAACTCCTCTCCCTTTATCCAAATCCGCTCAGTTGCCAAGAAGCATCCTAAAACTTGGGTCCACTATATTGCTGCTGAAGAGGAAGACTGGGACTATGCTCCCTCAGGCCCCACCCCCAATGATAGGTAAGCAAGCACCTTTTAACTCTTGATATGAACTCTTCCTCATTTTTAAAAGGTTATTCCCAATTATTCAAAACAACAAATCTTTAAGCCATGTTTATTGTTTGGTACGGGTATGGAATCAAATAATAGATAGCCTTACTAACATAGCTAAGCATCAGGCATACTTGCATTTTTCTCACGCCTTTTCATCGATTAAATCATTTCAGCTGTTTTAGAGCTGGATTTTAGCCACCTGTCCTCTACCTAGAATTCTCCATCCCAACATCACATCTATTTGTGTCTCATGCAGAGGTTATAAAAATCTGTATTTGAACAATGGTCCTCAGCGGATTGGTAGGAAGTACAAAAAAGTCCGATTTATGGCATACACAGATGAAACATTTAAGACTCGTGAAGCTATTCAGTATGAATCAGGAATCCTGGGACCTTTACTTTATGGAGAAGTTGGAGACACACTGTTGGTAAGTTGAGGAAGAGAAATAAGATTGGGTAATTATGAAGACAAAGTCTGGAGCATTTTGAGTTTCTAAAAGCTTCATAATTCAGTCTTGTGTTCCAATGAATATTATCTTCTAAAAATTATGTTATACAAATAAATATAGATTATAAATTTGTTTTAAAAATATGAATATATAGAATACAAATTTAATGACACCCATTAAACCTGTCACCCCTTTGAAACGCTCATTACATGGTCTTTGATACATATCCTTATATAATTTTTTTCCACTAATTATATAGTACAGGAATCATCAGACTGTGGCCTGTGAGCCTAATTTGGCTCATAGTGTGTTTTTGGACAGCCTGTGACCTTTCAGCCTGTGAAGGATTTTACCTTTTTATTTTTTTTTTAATTTTATTTATTTGAGAAAGTGAGCGAATGAGAGAGAGCACGAGCAATGGGGAGGAACAGAGGGGCAAGGAGAAGCATTCTCCCCACTGAGCAGGAAGCCCAACGCAGGGCTCAATCCTGGCATGAATCCCATGGATCCCAGGACTCCGGGATCATGATCTGAGCCAAAGGCAGACTCTTAACCCACTGAGTTGCCCAGGCACCCCGGATTTTACCTTTTTAAAGAGTTGTAAAGAAAAGAATAATAATAATAATACGACAAACGTGTGACAGTGACTAGAAATGACTCACAAAGTTTAGAGCATTTACTATCTGGCCCTTTCCATAAAATGTTTGCTGTCCCTTGATATAGGGTATTAAGAAGGCTTATGCTGCAAAGAATAGGATACTCAATAAGCCGTGGTTTAAAAAAATAGGGATTTATTTTTTCACAATCAATTTAGAGATGGATGGTTGTTTGTATCAACCCAGCTGCTCCAAAATGTTTTGAAGGATGCTGATCATTATATATGGAGTGTTGAGCAGAACACCATGAACCTGTTACCAGTGCCAGAGGAGGACTCCAATTATATTACATGCCAACCACTGGGAATAGAAATCCAAACACTTCTGCCCACAGCATCTTGGTAGCAGAGTCACCCAGGAAAACACAAGGCAACCAAGCCCTGGATGAAACAGTGCTTCTACTTACATAGAGAAGAGACAGAGCAAGGTCAGCTCCAATAGTGGGCATGGGTCCCCTATGGCTAGCAGATATCCCTCAGTAGCCAGCACAGGGCAGTTGGCCTCTGTGTACCCCTCTTGTGCTGAGACAGAAGGATCCCAACTCCTCCCCCAAGGAGTCTGAAATCTGAGGGTATGCATGAGGGTCACTGATGCACATGCTTAAGCAGAACAAAGGACCACCCACTGAGACTGAAACAAGGAAAGATACTCCCAGCAAGGTGATAAGCCTGCCATAGGCTGTGTGGGCTCTTTAGCTCCTGGTACAGTGGTGTCCCAGGCTTAAGACCCATTCTTACATAGCCAAGTAGGGCTCCAAAGACTGTGCACACAAGACTACCTTTCCTGATGTGGAGTTTTGTTAGGTAGTGCCAAAGTCCTTCAGCAATTCTGCCCCAATTTAGACCCTCACCAAGAGTGAGTATGCTTTCCCCACATCATTGACAATATATATTATAAGCCTTCAGAAAAATTTTCCAGTTTGGTAAGCTAAGTATTTATATACTGTCTTCATTTGCATTTCCCCGATTAGTAGTGAAATTGCTGTTTCATGTTTGTTGACTATTTACATGACACCCTCAGCAAATTGCCTGAAATTTTGTCCAGTTTTCTATTAGGATGGTTGTCTCTTGCTTATATATTTGTAAAAGGCTTTATGCACTGTGGATATTGGCACATTGTTATTTTTCAAATATTTTTTTAGTCTGTCACTTGTACTTTTGTCCTACAAAAATTTTTAGTATTTATACAGTCAAGATCTTTTTTTTTAAAGATTTTATTTATTTATTTGACAGAGAGCATCAGCAGGGGGGAGAAGCAAGGGGAGAGGGAGAAGCAGGCTCCCCGCTGAGCAAGAAGCCCAATGAGGGACTTGATCCCAGCACCCTGGGATCACGACCTGAGCCGAAGGCAGATGCTCAACCGACTGAGCCACACAGACACCCCTACAGTGAAGATCTTTTATCAATCTTTTTATTTATATTTTTCTGGATATTTTTGATTTATGATTTCTGCCTTGGAATGTCTTCATCACCTCCAGATTATAAAAATAGTCTATTACATTTTATTCTTTATACTTTTATAGTTTTATTTTTACAATAAGGATTTTAATTGCTCTGGAAGTTACTTTTGGTTATAGTGTATAGTGTCAAATAAGGATTTTCCCAAATGAGAGCTAACTAGGCCAACTGATCCTTTTCTCACTAATTTAAAAGTGCCTCCTTTATTATATACCAAATTGCTAATATCTGTTTTCTTTAATTGATCTGTTACCACTCTGTTTTGATGACTGCAACCTTGTCCTGTGTTTTGATATTTGTAGAGCAAGTCTTCTCTGATTGTACTTCTTCAACATTTTAATTAGCTATCCTTGTATAATTTTTATTCATAAATTTTATTTACCTATTTTTGAATTATCCAGTAAAAATAATTCAAAAGGCAAAAAATGTACACAGTGAAAGGCAAATTTTTCTCCCTCCCAGACTTCTTTTTTTTTTAAATTTTATTTATTTATTTGAGAGAGAGAGAATGAGATAGAGATAGAGAGCACGAGAGGGAAGAGGGTCAGAGGGAGAAGCAGACTCCCTGCTGAGCAGGGAGCCCGATGTGGGACTCGATCCCGGGACTCCAGGGTCATGACCTGAGCTGAAGGCAGTCGCCCAACCAACTGAGCCACCCAGGCGCCCATCCCTCCCAGACTTCTAATCCCATAGTCTGATAGGCAGTCATTACTGCCAGTTTTAATATCCTCTTCCAGAAATAGTGTATAAATATATGTGTTTATGTTTATATTTTAAACAAAAACATGAGCACTATGTAAATTGTTCTGTACCTTGATTTTTTTAACTTAACAACATATCTTGAATATCATTTCATATCAAGATATATAGATCTACCTCATTTTTTGATTTATGTAAGTTATGTTCGAACATCTTATTGAATCCTATTAAACTTTTCTATTAATGTAAGAATTTGAGGATTATTTGGCATTTGGATTGGAAGGAAGAAATAATACTGTCTTTATTTGCAGATGACATGATCTTATATGTAGAAAATAATTAATACATAATAAAAAAATCATAGGAAATTGGGGTTGCAAGGGACATCCTTATCCTAATAAAGATCTGCAGAAAACCTATAGTCACCATCACACTTGGTAGTGAAACTCAGAAATCCTTCTGTTAAAGATCAGGATAAAACACATATCTATGTGATATTTTACTAGAAACCGTAGCCAGTGTTCCTAGGAGAGAAAATAAAGTTTTCAGATTGGAAAGAAATAAACAAAACTGTCATTATCCGAAGATTAAGTAAATGTATGACACTTGGCAGGAGCCAGATTTCTTGTTGGAGAGGGTAATAATAAAATAAGCCTAGAATAAATCTTGGGATTCTGGATTAGAATTGGAGACATCAGTATAATTCTTAATATAGTAAGAAAGTACTCAATAAAAGAATAGGACAATGTCAAAAGAACACAGGAGTGTTCAGAGCTTCTAATGGCCAAGGTGGAAGAATTTGAGCAACAAAATAAAGTAGTATTGGATTATACCCCAAAGTATAAAATAAACATCCATGGATCATTACTGATGTAAATAAATGATTAAATAAGCAAATAAATGGGGAAGTAGAGACATAGCTCACATACAGAAGAGTTCTAAAAAAATTATGTAGGTATGTAATTCTTTGGGGGTTAATTTTTATAAAAGGTGTAAGGTCTGTGTCTAGATCCTTTCTCTCTCTCTCTCTCTCACCTTGCATGTTGATGTCTGGTTGTTCTAGCACCATTTGTTGATAAGACTATCTGCACCATTTTATTGTCTTCTGCTTCTTTGTCAGTAATCAGTTGACTATATTTATGTGAGTCTGTTTCTGGGCTCTCTATTCTGTTCCAAAAGGAAGTTTTTTAAAATGGAAGATGCTGCAACCTTATTGTGTACTAGTACCAAAGAGATGTTGGCATTAGATAGGAGTTGATTTTCACATGCATATAGGTGGGTAGATTTGATGATGGGAGGACAAGGAAATTCCTTTCTCAGTGAAAACATAAGCGCCCGAGAGTGAAAATCTGAAACCAAATATTAATCAACTAAGTAAGTGGGAAGGTGAATTTCTAGAAAAACCAAATAGATAGCTAGGTAACTTGAGTGCTCATTTGAGATTTGTGATCATGAATTTTAAAAGGCTGATTGCAGAACTGTGTGATTTTTCTTCTACATCATTCTGCTGCTTTAAGTGCGGGCAAGGAATCAGCTCTTTATTGGGTTTTACCAAATGAGTGGGTTTTAAGACAATAATGCAGGTGGAAGTTTTTTTTTTATGTTACATTAGTCATCATACGGTACATCATTAGTTTTTGATGTAGTGTTCCATGACTCACTGTTTGCGTATAACACCCAGTGCTCCATGCAGAACGTGCCCTCCTTAATACCCATCACCGGGCTAGCCCATCCCCCCACCCCCTCCCCTCTAAAACCCTCAGTTTTTTCAGAAGTTGGTTTTTTATCCTCATGTCATACCCAACCTCAGATCTAGAGACTGGGTTGACGTGTTCAAATGTTCTTAATTGCTGCTTCCATGTTACTGCTCTTCCATCCTTCCTCCCATTTAAAGCTCATGCAATCAGATAACACTGACTACCACCTTTCCTTAGTTCTGTAATCAACTGTCCTCCTATCATGCCTGCTCATTCAGTGAAGATTTTATCACCTGAGTCACTGTTTCCCTCTTCACTCTTGGGGAATTTAGTACCCAAATGGTGGAATAAGACTGAGGGGAAGCAGTGCCCTCAGCAGACATTCAAATTTCAATTAGTGTGACAAGGTGCAAGGAATACTTCCTGAAACGATTGAAATAACTTTAAAGAAATGGAAAAGGGGCCTTTAGTAAAAAAAAAAAAAAACAACCTAAGTAGCTGTCTGAGCAACTTTATGGAAAGAACAAATATTTTGAACTTTATCTAGGCTCAAACCCCTATAACATGGATATAAGACAGCTTTTGTTTTCTGGAGATAGGCCACACTGTTCCTGTTGATCCTAGTTGTTTTAGGACTTGATCTTGTATTTCATTTATACTTTCAGATTATATTTAAGAATCAAGCAAGCCGGCCTTATAACATCTACCCTCATGGAATCACTGATGTCAGTCCTTTGCACTCAGGGAGATTGCCAAAAGGTAAGTGTTACCTCAATTTTATTAAGTCATACTTACCTGTGGATATACATGAGGTCACAGCCTCAATAGCACTAAAATTATACTGGTCCTTGCCCCAGCTGTTATGTACTGTATAGGCACATTTATCACCTCACCATCCTTAATGCTATAATTTCCATATGTATTACATCTATATACTTTACAGTACACACAAGAAAATGCTATAATTTTTGCTTTAAATAGTCATATGTAGGGACACCTGGGTGGCTCAGCCAGTTCAGTGTCTGCCTTCGGCTCAGGTCGTGATTCTGGGGTCCTGGGATTGAGCCCCGCATTGGGCTCCTTGCTCAGGACGGAGTCTGCTTCTCCTTCTTCCTCTGCTGCTCCCCCTGCTTTTGTGCATGTGCGCACTCTCTCTCTGATTAAAAAAAAAAAAAATTAAATAGTCATATGTAGTCTTAGAAAATTATGAGGAAAAATACTCCTTCATATTTACCAGTTATTTACTATTACCAATGATTTTTATGCCCACCTAAAGATCCAGATTTCCATCTGGCATCACTTCCATTCAGATCATTTCTCTTCAATCTAAAGAAGTTCTTTTATCATTCCTTGTAGTGCAGGTATGCTAGAGATAGATTCTCTTAGTTTTATTTTATTTGAAAATGTCTTTGTCTTCACTTTTGAAGGCTAATTTTGCTGGGTATAGAATTCTGGGTTGAGAGGGCTTTTTATTCCTTTTAGCACTTTGAAAATATTGTTTTACTATCTTCTGGCCTTCATAATAGCTAAACTTAGATTTCATTCAGTTATTCTTACCCTGTACATTATTGTTGTCTGACTGTGATTTTCTTCATATTTCTCCCACTTGAGGTTCACTGATCTTCCTGGATCTGTAAATTTATATTTTTACAAATTTGGAAAGATTGTGGTCATTATATCTTCAAAAAAATTTTCTACCCTGTTCTCTATCTCCTTTCCTGGGTCTATAATTACATGAATGACATTTTGGTATTGTCCCACATGCCTTAATATTTTCATCATATTTTTTTTCTTTCTCCATCTCATCTGCAAAGTGGGTATTTTCTGTTGACCTATCTTCAGGTTCACTGACCTCACACTGGAATTTCTGAGTCACGGTATATGTATTTCTATTTTTAATAGATAGCTGCACTTTTGTTCCCAGATAAAGTTATAATTCATACTCCTACTACTCAAATATGAAAGTGTAATTTCCCACATTATTGATATCTAGACATTGACAGTTTTTTAAAAAGATTATTCATTTATTTATTTGACAGAGAGAGAATGAGAAAGCACAAGCAGGGGGAGCTGCAGAGGGAGAGGGAGAAGCAGGCTCCCCGTGGAGCAGAGAGCCCAATGCGGGGCTCAATCCCAGGACCCTGGGATCATGACCTGAGCCCAAGGCAGACACTTAACTGACTGAGCCACACAGGTGCCCCTAGACATTGACAGTTTTTTAAAACTCCTGCCAGTCTGGTGGGTGAAAAGTGGTGTCTCAATGCTGTTTTAATTTTATTTTTTTATTTTAATTCCAACATAGTTAACATACAGTGTTATATTAGCTTCAGATGTACACTGTAGTGATTCAGCACTTCCGTACAACCCCCAGTGCTCATCAGGACAAGTGCCCTTCTTAATCCCCATCCCCTGGTTCACCTATCTGCCCACCTACCTCCCCTCTGGTAACCATCAGGGTGTTCTCCATAGTTAAGAGTCTTTGTCTTGGTTTGCCTCTCTCTCTTTTTTCCTTTGCTTATTTGTTTTATTTCTTAAATTCCACATATGAGTGAAATCATATGGTATTTTTTTCTCTGACTGACTCATTTCACTTAGCATTATACTCTCTAGCTCCATCCATGTCATTGCAAATGGAATAATTTCATTCCTTTTTATGCAGAGTAATATTCCATTGTGTGTGTATCACATCTTCTTTATCCATTCATGTATTGATGGACACTTAGGCTGCTTCCATAATTTGGCTATTGTAAGTAATGCTGCAGTAAAAAAGGTATGCCTACATCTTTTTGATTTAGTATTTTCATATTCCTTGGGTAAATACACAGAATGGAATTACTGGATCATATGGGAATTCCATTTTTAATTTTTTAAGGAACCTCCATACTGTTTTCCACAGTGGTTATGCCACTTTGGATATGCACCAACAGTGCAGGAGGATTCCTTTTTCTCCACATCCTTGCCAGTACTTGTTGTTTCTTGTGTTTTTGATTTGAGCCACAGGCAAGGGAAACAAAAGCAAAACAAAAACTGTTGGGACTGCATCAAACTAAAAAGCTTTTGTGCAGGGAAGAAAACCATAAACAAAACAAAAAGCCTACTGAATGTGAGAAGATATTTGCAAATGATATATGCAGTAAGGGGTTAATATCCAAAATATATAAAGAACTTATACAACTCAACACCAAAAATATAAACAATCCAATTAAAAAATGGGCAGAGGACCTGAGTAGATATTTTTTTTCAAAGAATAGACCTCTGTAAATCCAACAGACATGAAAAGATGCTCAACATCACTAAGCATCAGGAAAATGCAAATCAAAACCCAAATAAGATATCCATCTTACACCTGTTAGAAGGGCTAAATAAAAAAGATGAGAAATAACAGGTGTTGGTGAGGATGTGGAGAAAAAGGAACCCACATATACTATTGGTGGGAATATAAATTGGTACAGCCACTGTGAAAAACAGTATGGAGTTTCCTCAAAAAAATTTTAAATTAAAATACCATATGATCCAGTAATTCCACTATTGAATATCTACCCAAATAAAATGAAAACACTAATTTGAAAAGATACATGCACCCCTATGTTTATTGCAGTATTATTTAGATACCACATCTCCTTATAAAATATGTGAGTTAAAACTCCAGTAAGCAGTCCTTTGGCATATATTTGGGCCTGAAATTCTCATGGTCAACTGGATTATCATCTGTAGCTTACCACTCTGGTTTTGATGTCTATTTTTTAAGCACTTGAGATTTTTTTTCTTCTTCATAGATTTTCACTTATTTATTATAAACATTTAATAATATTATCAGGTGCCTGGGTGGTTCATTCAGTTAAGCGTCTGCCTTTGGCTCAGGTCATGATCCCAGGGTCCTGGGATTGAGTCCCATGTTAGGCTCCCTGCTCCACAGGGAGTCTGCTTCTCCCTCTGCCCCTCCTCCCACTTGTTCTCTCAATCCCTCTCTCTCTCTCTCTCTCAAATAAATAAAATCTTTAAAATAATATCTATTATTTATATGTAATAGTGGACAGACCTACTTATTTCAGCTCAAACTAACAAGCTAGCAAAAATCTCCTGGACTGACTTTTTTTAGTACAAAAAATTTGTAAGACATTATATTTCAGCTCAAACTAACAAGCTAGCAAAAATCTCCCGGACTGACTTTTTTTAGTACAAAAAATTTGTAAGACATTTGAAGATAATGTACCTTGAACAAAATAAAATAAATTACAGATTATCAAGATACAAACTTTTTTTTCAGTTCTTATTTAGTTACTTTAAGTTTTTAATTAAATTCAGTCAGTTAACATACAGTGTTATATTAGTCTCAGGTGTACAATATAGTGCATTCCTTCATCCCCATCACCTAGTTCACCCATCCCCCACACCCCACATCTTCTCTATCCATTCATCTGTCGATGAACATCTGGGCTCTTTCCATAGTTTGGCTATTGTGGACATTGCTGCTATAAACATTGGGGTGCACGTACCCCTTCTTTTCACTACATCTGTATCTTTGAGGTAAATACCTAGTAGTGCAATTTCTGGGTCATAGGGTAGTTCTATTTTTATTTTTTGAGGAACCTCCAATACTGTTTTCCATAGTGGCTGCACCAGTTTGCATTCCCACCAACAGTGCAAGAGGGTTCCCCTTTCTCCACATCCTCACCAACACTTGTTCCTGGTGTTGTTGATTTTAACCATTCTGACAGGTATGAGGTGATATCTCAGTGTAGTTTTGATTTGCATTTCCTTGATGATCAGTGAGGATGAGCATCTTTTCATGTGTCTGTTGGCCATCTGGATGTCTTCTTTGGAAAAATATCTATCAGGTCTTCTGCCCATTTTTTAATTGAATGATTCATTTTTTGGGTGTTGAATTTTATAAGTTCTTTCTATCTATTGAATACTAACCCTTTGTCAGATATGTCATTTGCAAATATCTTGTCCCATTCAGTAGGTTCTCTTTTAGTTTTGTTGATTGTTTCCTTTGCTGTGCAAAAGCTTTTTATCTTTTTTAACATTTTTAATTTAAATTCAATTAATTAACATATAATGTATTCTTGGTTTCAGAGGTACACGCCTGTGATTCATCAGTCTTATATAATACCCAATGATATTACATCACATGCCCTCCTTAATATCTATTACCCAGTTACCCCATCCCTCCACCCACCTCCCCTCTAGCAACCCTCAGTTTGTTTCCTATGATTAAGAGTCTCTTATGGTTTGTCTCCCTCTCTGGTTTCTTCTTGTTTTACTTTTTACTCTTTTCCCCTATGATCCTCTCTTTTATTTCTTAAATTCCACATATTGGTGAGATCATAATGATAATTGTCTTTTTCTGATTGGCTTATTTCGCCTAGCATAATACCCCCTAGTTCCATCCACGTCATTGAAAATGGCAGGATTTGGGGTGCCTGGGTGGCTCAGTCGTTGACCGTCTGCCTTCAGCTCAGGTCACGATCCCAGGGTCCTGGGATCAAGCCCCAAGTCGGGCTCCCTGAATGGCTGGAGGCCTGCTTCTCCCTCTCCTGCTTCCCCCTGCTTGTGTTCCCTCTCTGGCTATTTCTTTGTCAAATAAATAAAATCTTTAAAAAAAAAAAGAAAAAATGGCAGGATTTCATTTTTTTGATGAACATATATACACATACATACACACCACATCTTTTTTTTAAGATTTTATTTATTTATTTGACAGAGAGAGAGAGATCACAAGCAGACAGGCAGGCAGAGGGAGAGGAAGAAACAGG